TGCCAACTTCCACTGCCACTGACGCTGCCACTGCCACTGCCACAGCCACTGCCACTGCCGCTGCCACTCCCCACCCTAGTGCTGTGGTAGTGCAGGTGCAGCTGCAGTTGTCGCTACAGACACTGAATTCACTCCAACACCCACAGACGCACTCGGCGCCGCTGGTGCCACCACCGCCGAAGCTGATGATGCCGAGCCTCCTTTCCCAGGTTTGTGGTGACCCACACCTGTAGGTCTGTGGCCCACTCCCTCGGGATGGTGCCCAACGACTGGAACCGCCACCGAAGCTGATGATGCCGAGCCTCCTTTCCGAGGCTTGTGGTGACCCACACCTGCAGGTCTGTGGCCCACTCCCTCGGGATGGTGCCCAACGTAAGTCGGATGCCCTCCTTCCTTATTGTCCCCACCGCTGCTGCTGCCACCGCCGTTGCTCGTGTTGCCTCCTTTGTTGCTTCCGCCGTTGTTGTTACCCTTGTTTCCGTTGTTCCCGTTCTTAGCTGGTGGCTTGACAGGAGATTTGCCAGGTGAATTGGTCGCAGGAGGCTTGCTGGGTGATTTACCCGGAGACTTGGTGCCGGGGTTCTTGGAATTGCCGGGAGTTTTGGGGCTGCCCGGACTTTGAGGGGTACCTGGGCTCTTGGCCGGAGACTTTTTATTTTTATTGGGGTGTATGACCTTGGTTCGATTCCTGGGAGCGGCATCTGATAATCCACTGCCATCGCCGTGTGGGCCCCCGTGGTTACCATCCATCCCGTCGCCAGCAAACGAAAACTGAATGTTGCAGTCGTAATCCTTCGCCGGAACCCAACCAGCCGGGAGGCAATTGGGGGTGGTTACCACTTGCTGGTTGTCCGTGAGCGAAGTTAGGCGAAACTTGAGCGGTGCCTGAAGGAATGATTCGTACACCCAGTTCGCACCCCAGTCGTGTCGCATCGCTCTCCACGTAGGCGAATTCGAGTCCATCACTTCGACTAGCGAAAGGTCGCCAGGCCCCGCGACTTGGCGAATCAAGAGGTTCAGCCAAAAAGGCGACCCGGTAGCGGTGAGGCGAATGTTGTTGGAGAAGGTACATGGCACTCTGTGATTGGAAACGAGGAAATGAACAGACAAATGTTAGTTGAGGGGAAACTGGAATATATCCGGTTCGGTAGCAAGCGGACGTTGGTTGAGGGAAATCACTGGAAACTGGTAATGGGGGGGAATGTAATTGAGTGGCATTGAGGAGAACCAATAAAAAAACTTTGACGGGAGCCGCAAAGGCAGAACCTGACCATGCGCGTAGATTAGCGTACTGTACGAGTGGGGTGTAAAAAATAATAATAGCGAGTTCGCTCATATCAGAGACTTACTGTTCGTAGGCGAGGGGAACAAAGCCTGCAGCACGATTCGCAAGCGCGATAAAAGCGGGTTCGCTTAGATCGAAGTGGCGACAGGTGGGGCAGCACCAACCCCCGCCGGGACAGAGATCCGTTATAGCGACCACGATGGATACGCCCTTGTTGCAATACGTGCTGTTGGTACACGATATGCTGTGATAAAAGAGACAGAGCGAAAACGACAGGAGAAGGAGAGGAAAGAAGCGAAGGAGAAGAGAGAGCAAAGGAACGGAGGAAGCGCGGGACGGGAAGAGAATAGGGAGGAAACAAGGGAGAGGGGAAGACTATTCAGCTCGGAGTTGGGGACCGTAATAACACCACAAATTATAAAATTAAGGAGTCACAGGGTCGACACCAGCAAAGCTGGTGATGCATAAAGTTGTGATAGGGTGGATTTTGTGACAATAAGGAGCGAGTGCCTACCGGTAGCATGCGCCGCATCCGTTCCCGCCCTTGTAAAGAGGGGGGCTCCCCGCCGCGACGAGGATGCCGTAACCGGATTGCACGAGATTGCCGTAACCGCAGTTACCACCTGCAACGAATATCAATCAATATCGTTAGATATACGGCCTCTTCGTCCTGCTTGCAAGGAAGGTGGCTTTGATAGTATCGACTCGAGTTTTACTAGTCGCCCAATTGTAACCCCCGTCCAACCCCTCGATTAGGCCGCTCTCAAAGAGATACGGCCGGTGGCTTTGAACCCCTTGTTTCAACCGCTCTCAACACCTTGCAACCATAAGTCCCAACTTAAAACATACCCCAAGTCCCCGACGCGTCGGGTCCGCCGTAAAACGTGGCTTTTGCGACACCCGGAGCGCCGTACGCTGCGGCGCGTGATGCGGAGAGGACGACCGTCGCAAGCACGCATAGCAGGAGAGTGCTGGTGGACAGCAGGCGGTGCGGGAGGCGGAGGGGAAAATGCGATGGAGGAGAACAAGTTCGCCGAGGGGGACCCATGGTGGAGGAGAAACTGTTGCGCTTTGTCCGCCGATATCTTGTTTGCGGTGCGGATTGGCCACAATCTGAAAGTATGAGTTTGTCTGTGTCGTTCGCTGCGGCTCCTCAGAACGGGTAGCCGTCGCCCTCACCTTGGGAACCAGGGAGTCCAAGGAGTGCTCCTACTCGGAAGCAGTCTAGGGCTAACAACGGCTACTAGGAGTGAGTCGTTGCATCTTCGGACGTAATGAGCAATGTACTATTACGGATATGTGATGACTAGGCACGAAAGGGGTAACACCCGTAAGGTGAAGGGTTACGCACTGGGTGACTGCGACTGGGCCCCTGGTTTCGCTGCCTGCGACTGGGCGCGACTGAGGCAGAGGTCGACGCGTTTACTGCGGTGCGTGAGACTTTCAAATGAGGGTTGTTGTGCAAGGCGTATGTGCATAAAGGCGCGACGAGGGAACTACTGAATTACTGCAAGAGTGCAGCCGCAGCGAGAGAGCCGGAGAAGGGGGCAGGGAGAGAGGCACGAGGTGAGTAATGAGTTAGGCGGGATCCCCCAGGTGATGAGGGGCACGAGGAGAACTAGAGAGAGTCACGGGCGGGCGGCACGACAAGGCCACGACAGACAAGCCCGGCCTATCCGTCGAGAATGAAAGCTGTGGGGAGAGCTTTCACCTGGAAAGTCGGAGCGAGCTCTCAAAGACCAAAAAGGGTGTCACTCTAAAGCACGTCTCACAACAACGAGCGAACGAACAACCTCTCTAGGAGAGGGGCCCTGCTTATTGAGGTGCCTAAACAGCGATATCTCAAAGACCGAAGGGGGAACAGAGGAGGAGAAAACTCTTCGCACTCCAGCACGTCGCGCAACTGGTAACAGGGGAGGCGTTTCTACAAGTACTACCTCCAGAGTCGAATGCCTGCAGAACTCGGGTCGCGTCGGGTCGGGTCGGGACTTGGGAGGACACGTAGGCTCGTAGGGACTGTCGGGGGAGACGGGACTGCCCTTGGGATCGAAGGAGCGTACCTGACCTGACTCGGGCGCCAGTAGCACTCTGCCTGCTGCGACTAGATCACCTAGACTCGGGCTCTGTTATCCTAGTGGGTCCAGACTCCAGACCAGAGCTTCGTTCCGGATCTAATTTCACGAAGAGATTGAAGGCCTCCCCAGGTCGCCTCGACCTGGCGTCCTTTCCCAGTGGCCGCACGGACAATCGCTAATCCCGCCCCGTGTCGCGCTAGCGCTCGGAGGTCCACGTGGATGCTTGCGGGGGGGTGAGAGGGGAGGAAAGGGGCCAGCTTGTGGCACGCGGGTTGAAAATGCGCTGTTGGGTCGAGTGGAACGTGCAATCGCGATGTTCTCCTTTGGGCTGCCAATTGCCTCGTATGATTTTGCGCCAATTGTCTCTGGTGGGGATGGTGGTGGTAAAGAGAGGGTTTGGGTTGGGTGGAAAGGGGTGCTGATCACACAAAATTGCGTGGAAGCTTTCTGAAGTGGGCAAAGCTCACCCCATCAAAATCTCGACTGCGCACGGTCGATGCATTTGGTGTGATCAGCTCAATTTCACATTGGAACGTCGCGCCTCGGCCTGTGCGATTCGGTTGTGGATATGGAGGAAAGGTGCCGATGCTTTTGTTTCGTTAGTTTCATCCCCTGTCGGTCAGATTCCGACTCACGTTGACGATTCCCGCTTACGGCTTGCGCAATTTCACCTCTACGACCTTCCAAAAGGCCAGTTCGACTCGCCTAAATGACCAACGGGTAGTCTCTGATTGGGCGAGAAGAATTTAAGGGACTACTGGCTGCCTTGGTTACCGTTATCGTCAGTTATGAATGTGAAGTGCGTGGTAGTGATGGGTGCGGTGCGCAACCCGTGGTTCTCGTCCGTGACGGAGCATTTCGCCTGTTGTCAGAATCGTTGACGGCACCGAGCACCCCAAACGTCCATAATTCCCGCAGTCGAGATTTTGCGAAATTGTCATCCCCAATCAAAATTGTGCGCTTTCGCTTCGCTCCAAACAGCGAATTGTTTGACGCGGCTCCATCTCATCCCGGTTCTAATTTCGAATCCGCTCGACAAAGAAAGTATCGATGTTATTCATAATTGATTGCGAATAACATCCGACTCTGAAATTGAAAATCATCTAGTTAATATTATTGGCGCGCATGTTTCTAATAATTGTTCAACAAACGAAATGTTCTTAGCTTGTACGTGTTACCACTTATCAACTAGTCCGCTATTTGCTCCAGCCAAAGTGCGGCGTTACAAGGTGACATGGCGGCTCTCACGTCGTCCATCGCGGCGCGTAACCCGGTAACCGGCTTGACGTCAGCTCTTCCGTCTGCAAAGCAACGTCAGCTCTCGAATGCCACGTGGCAGTCAAGAGCACGTCAGCCCGTCCTGAGCCACGCTGGCCGCCTTACTTCGTCACGCGGCTTTAATCTCTTGCCGCATTCTGCATTCCACGGCAGAAAGTTACGAAACATTATCCGCGTTAGTAGCTCGGACTCTCAACGCAGTCATTTTGCTGCTAGTCGCGGACGTGTACATCTCGTAAGATCGCTGTATGTGGACGAGGACGATAACGGGAATTACTATATCGAGGATGACGACGACGGCAGTGGATTGATCGACGCGCCCGTATCAGTCGGCGACGGCTTCTCGTTCGTCGGCGGTACGAATGCTCCTATATCGAAACTGGGTTGATACGAATGCTGCTGCTGGCACCAATGTTGCTAATTCAAGGGTTACTAATTCGAATGTTGCCAATTCGAGTGTTCCTGACACAAATGTAGCAAGCTCGACTGTTTAAACGGATTCGTGCTAACGAATAGTTCTGGCCCTCTCTCATTGGTTGCTGGCTCTCGTCATGCAGGTAGTGGCAGGGCGAGAGTGGGGCATGGCATGGGGGAACGGGAACAGGAGGCGACAAACAGGGGGAATTTGATTCTTTACCCCTCTTTCTCCTCTTCCTCTCCTCGCATAGCTTGCTGGCGCTCGCAATGCAGGTGGTGGCAGGGCGAAAGTGGGGCAGGTGCGGGAAAGGCAACAGAGAAGCGGCAACAGGCGAGCCGTACCCTCTTTCTCCCATTCCCCCCTTTTCCCACAGGGAAATATGCTGAAAGGGGCGGTAGGGCGGAGGAGTGGGAGGAGCAGGGGAAGGGGCTCAGGTGAGAGAAAGGGGAAAGCAGGGGGTGCAGGAGAGGCGAGGGGGAAGGAGGTGAGGAGGGGAAGGGAGGACGGACTGCAGGCGGAGTGCAGGAGGTGCGGGATCCTGTGTTCGGACTGTGAATGGGGGAGGGCTTTCAGGCCTCGTCCGAGGGACTCAGGTGAGCTTTGAGGCGCCTCAGAACTCGTCTCGTTCCAGGCAGCAGGTGGAGTGCAGGAGAGGTGGGGGGAACGAGCGGGGGGGACAGGGAAGCAGGGGGAGTGCAAGAGGTGCGGGATCTTGTGTTTGGGCTGAGGATGGGGGAGGATGGCTTTCAGGCTTCCTCTGAGGGGCTCAGGTGAGTTCTCAGGTGAGGTCACAGCTACTCATTCCGCCAAGTCATCAACACCATCACCCCTGGAAGGACCTTCGCCCTCACCAGCACCATCAACACCACTATCCCGAGTGCCTCAACTCCCCCCCCTCCCCTCTCACAGCTACTCGTTTCGCCAAGTCATCAACAGCATCACCCCTGGTACCTTCATCCGTCATCCTTCTCCCCTTTTCCTTTTCCCCTGCAGGTGGTTTGTGATTGACACACAAGGAGACGAACCAGCCACTACCCCTGCCTCCTCCTTCTCCTCTTCCTCCTCCCCCCCTCCTCCTCTCCTTCTCCTCCACGGCCTCCCCTCTCACAGCTACTCATTCCGCCAAGTCATCAACACCATCACCCCTGAGACCTTCGCCCTCACCAGCGGTCCCTTACTACTGGCATCCCCATTCTGCTTCCCAATTCTGCTGCTGCTTCCCCACCCCCCTTGCTCCCACCCACCCACTGCAGGTGGTTTGTGATTGACACACAAACAGACGAACCTGCCACTACCCCTGCCTCCTCCTCTTCCTCCTCCCCTTCCCCTCCTCTCCTCCTCCTCCACGGCCTCCCCTCTCACAGCTACTCCTTCCGCCAAGTTATCAACACCATCAACCCTGGTACCTTCGCCCTCACCAGCAGTACAGCAGCGGCAGCAGGAGGAGGTTCGGCCGAAGCTGGAGGGTCAGGTTCGGAGGAGTCGCTCGGCGTGCGGTGCGTGGCGCCGGATTGGCTCGGGTTTGGAGGCTCGGATAAGCCCCAGGCGGACCAGAAGAGGTTCGGGTATTCCCCGAGTGACTACGCTCGGGAACTGGGAAATCTGGTGGCAACGATGGGATTGGAGGATGTTTCGATTGTGGCTCAGGTGAGGGAGTGAGGGATTGTGAGAAAGAGGTTAAGGTTACCACCAGATTACAAGGTTCGGGTATTCCCCGAGCGACTATGCATGGGAGCTGGGAAGCCTGGTGGCAACAATGGGAGTGGAAGATGTTTCCATTGTGGCTCAGGTGAGGGAATGAGTGAGTGATGAAGCGAGGGAGTGAGTGAGGGAACGAGGTTCAGGTACTAGCAGACCAGAAGGGGTTTGGTTCGGGTATTCCCCGAGTGACTATGCATGGGAGCTGGGAAGGCTGGTGGCAACAATGGGAGTAGAGGATGTATCCATTGTGGCTCAGGTGAGGGAATGGGGGAGTGAGGGAGTGAGGGCCTTTGAGACGTCTCAAAGGTATTACCAAGGGACTATGCTCGGGAGCTGGGACAGCTGGTGGCATCAATGGGCGTGGGGATGTTTCCATTGTGGCTCAGGTGAGGGAATGGGGGAAAGAGGATAGCAGTGAACTGGGGGAAAGCGGGGACTGAGGGCAAGCACGGGGTGGTGGGGAGCTGGGACGGCTGGTGGCAACGATGGGCCTGGGAGATGTTTGCATTGTGGCTCAGGTGAGAAGGGATAGAGAGATGAAGGGAGTGAGGAAGCAGGGGTGGCAGCGAGTGAAGGGAAAGCGGGTCGCTGCTGGGGAGCAGGGACGGCTAGTGGGTGGCAATGGCAACAATGAGTGTGGGATATGTTTCCATTGTGGCTCAGGTGAAGGAATGGGGGAACGATATTAAGATGCAAGGGTGGCAAAGATGCAAAGATGCGAGATGCAAGACGCGAGATGCGAGATGCGAGATGCGAGATGCGAGATGCAAGGGTGGCAAATCCATTCGTTTTTCACTCAGTTATTACCCCCTCCCAATTCTCCTTCCCGTTTTCTTTCTCTCTGCCCGACTTTATCCCGCGCGCGCAGGGCTATTTCTGTCTGCCCGCTGCTGAGTTTGTCCTTTCCAACCCTGCCCGGATTCGCCACCTCATATTTATCAACCCACCTGTAAGTGTCACGGCTAAGTGTCACGGCTAAGTGTCACATGTGAGTGTCACAATCGTGTAACACAATATAGTGGAAAGAAGCAGTTGCTCACATGAGTAAAACCCACGAAAATAAACTCTCTGGATAGCAGCTCAACCGTTGTTTTCTAGATTGATAAAGTGTATGTGTGTGTGTGTGTGTGTTTGTTTTTTCTTCTTCTCATAAATGTTTTGGTGAGTCTTCTCTAGAAAACTCTAAAAAATCATGAGGTTTCCTCGCCGTAGACGTCTCAAAATCATCTTCCCTCGTACCCGTCGCCTCGCCTTAGGCGTCTCAAAATCATATTCCCTCGTTCCCACCCCTCCTCCCTTCTCTCTGCCTCCTCCTCCCCTCTCTTTTGAGTCGACTCATAAGTCACATCATGAGGTTACCTCGCCTCACCTTAGGCGTCTCAAAATCATCTTCTCTCATTCCCACGTTCCCTCGTTCCCACCCCTCCTCCCTTCTCTCTGCCTCCTCCTCCCCTCTCTTTTGAGTCGACTCAAAAGTCACATCATGAGGTTACCTCGCCTCACCTTAGGCGTCTCAAAATCATCTTCTCTCGTTCCCACGTTCCCTCGTCCCCGTCGCCTCGCCTTAGGCGTCTCAAAATCATCTTCTCTCGTTCGTTCCCACCCCTCCTCCCTTCTCTGCTTCCTTCTCCCCTCTCTCCTTCATTTCCCCCCTCTCCTTAATCTCCCCTCCCCCCTCCCAACCAATCAGATCACACAGAAGCATGCCAAGCTGCCCTCCTGCCTCGGTGCCTCACGTGCTTGACTGTGTTTCCTCCCTGCTGCTGTCTCACCCTTGCTCCCCTCTCTCCTTCATCTCCCCTCCCCCCTCCCAATCAATCAGATCACACAGAAGCATGCCAAGCTGCCCTCCTGCCTCTCAGCCTTCTCCAACTTTCTGCTTGGAGAGATCTTCGCGCAGGTAGGGTCTGAATGCCTGTCTGCAGTGCCGCTACCTTGTGCTACCTGCCTGCGTCCTGCTGTCCACTACCTGATAGCATGCCAAGCTGCCCTCCAACTTCCTGCTTGGAGAGATCTTCGCCCAGGTAGGGCCTGATGCATGCATGTATGTGCTGCCTACTCGTAACTGCCTGCCTGCCTGCTGCCTGTTGCCTGCAGTCCGCTACTTGATAGATATTCCCTGATAGCACACCAACCAAGCTGCCCTCGTGCCTCTCGGCCTTCTCCAACTTTCTGCTTGGAGAGATCTTCGCGCAGGTAGGGTCTGAATGCCTGTCTGCAGTGCCGCTACCTTGTGCTACCTGCCTGCGTCCTGCTGTCCACTACCTGATAGCGCGCCAAGCTGCCCTCCAACTTTCTGCTGGGAGAGACCTTCGCCCAGGTAGGGTCTGAGGCCTGCATGTATGTAGTGCTGCTACCCGCCGCTACTTGCCTGCTGCCTGCTGTCCACTGCCTGATAGACATGCGCTGGTAGTTATGACCGAGTGTTGGAGGAAGCGGGGTGTTACCTGACAGACGAACAGAATCTGTACTCCAGGCAGAGCAGGGATCTGTTCCGAGTGCCTTACTCTTCCTGACTCTTCCAAGCCAAGCTTCTTCCCCTTGCTCCTCCCATTTCCAGGACCCCTTACGTGCCAGTGACCGTGTATTGGAGGAGGCAGGGTGTTACCTGACAGAGGAACAGAATCTGTACCTGCCTTACTCTTCCTGACCAAGCTCGGTCAAGCCGAGCTTCTTCCCCTTGCTCCTCCCATTTCCAGGATCCCTTACGTGCCAGCGACTGTGTATTGGAGGAGGCAGGGTGCTACCTGATCGATGAGGAGGATGCAATGGTGTACCGCCGGCCCTACCTATCCAGTGGAGCACCGGGCTTTGCTCTTACAGCCATCACCCGAGCGTTCCAGAAGGATCTCAAGGTAAGCAAAGCGGTTGGGATGGGTTTTCTCTCTTAGCTGACCTGATCCTACCTATCCAGTGGTGCATCGGGGTTTGCTCTTAGAGCCATCACAAGGGCCTTTCACAAGGATCTCAAGGTATGCAGAGCGGTTGGGATGGGTTTGAGCTCACAGCAACTGCACCTTGCCAGTGGAGCATCGGGCTGTGCTCTCACACAGGGTGCAAAAAGAAACTTAGTGGGAAATCTCATATTTTGGGCGATTTTTTTTTGCGGTCGTTTTTTTGGCCTGAAATTCTCGATAATCTGGGTCCGAACCAGAAGAAACTTAGTGGGAAATTTCGCCCGAAAGTTTCAGGAAAAAACATTATGTGTTATTTGATCAGATTCGATGGGTGCAATTTTGTAATGGCGTTTCGACGCCAGGTAAAAGGGTTTTTTTTTTCTGTTATTTCTTTCTGTTCTTTTCCTTTTCTTTTCCTTCTATTTTATTTCCTTTGGTCTATCAAAATCTCGCCAAAATATTCTATAAAATGGCCGAAATTTCCGGTGCGAAACAATAGCTTAGCGCAATTTTCCACCCAGCTCTCACAGCCATCACTCGAGCCTTCCAAAAGGATCACAAGGGGAAGAATAGGGTCTCTCCCTTGCACCCGCTCCCAGGCGAGACGAATTTTGAGTCGACTCAAGAGCCATCACCCGAGCCTTCCAAAAGGATCACAAGGGGAAGAATAGGGTCTCTCCCTTGCACCCCCTCCCAGGCGTCACTCCCTTGGGTCTCCAAGGCCCTCTCAGCCATATCTAGCAGCCCTCCTCCTCACCCACTGTCATGTGGTGTGGGCATCAACCACCGATGCTGCTGCTGCTGCCACTCAGGATTTCGGCTCTAGGGTTTTGGTTGACAATGCTGTTTATCCCTCTGCTCTCTCCCCTCTCCCCTCTGCCCCTCCCAGGCATCACTCCCCCTGGTCACCAATGCCCTCTCTGCCCTCCAGCCCTCCTCCTCACCCACTGTCATGTGGGCATGAAGGACCGCTGCTGCTGCTGCCACTCATCCCTCCGCTCCTCTGCCCCTTGCCCCACCCCTTACCAGGCGTCCCTTCCTCTGGTCACCAAGGCGCTCTCTGCCGTCTCTGCCCAGCCCTCCTCCTCCTCCACTGGCATCTGGGGCATGAAGGACCGCTGCTGCTGTCTCTGCGCTTTGGCTTGATGATGTCGCTTGTGCCTTCCCTCTCTCCCTTCCCCCTCCCTCCCAGGCGTCCCTTCCTCTGGTCGCCAAGGCCCTCTCTGCCGTCTCTGCCCAGCCCTCCTCCTCACCCACAGTCATCTGGGGAATGAAGGACCGCTGGCAGTCCTTTGACGGGGTTCGAGAAGCGTGCAGAGCAGCAGGGGCCGTGCTTGTGACTCTAGACGAGGTGAGTATAAGGAATATGAGGTGTAGATGTTCCTGGGGCATGAAGGACCGCTGGCAGTTCTTGTAATACTCTTTGCGTCTCTTCATTCCAGCTCATCCTCATTTCATACATCATCTCGTTGTTTGCTTCCTTTTCCCTGCATGAATTTCTTCTTGGGCAGGTGGGGCATCATGCACAGGAAGATTATGGAGAGGAGGTGGGGCGAGTGATTCGAAACATTCTCCGCCGCACGACATGACAGGTTTCCTTTGCACAAAAACATTTCTGCGGATACTGAGTGTGTCTCAGCATTTTTAATTCGTTACGCAGTTTGCAGACGAAATAGAAGGCTTTGAGGTGAAAAACTGCTATTCCTTTACATTTAACAAATACTTCCACAGTTTACTGCTTAGAGTTGCAGCAGTGAACACTCAGAGCTCATTACCGCGAATCAAATCCATTCCCTTCTCGCTAACGAGGACATGCCCTGAACCTGATCTCAAACTCGAAAGGGCGTGTTCGACAAACAACCCCCATTGTGAGGTTGTCACTGGCTGAGACAGCCACCGCCATACCGTGTCCAGCCGCTTTTTCGTGTATCAGCCGGTTTTTCGTGACCACTGCCCGCAAATGATGTCCACTGACGGCTTTCCCGGAGTTGCGTGACTGTACTATCTTCTGTGCTGTACTCATCGGAAGTGGGCACTAGGAACAGTTTCCGTTTCCGCTTTGGCTTTCGCCGGTTACCATCTGGGTTTCTAGTAGTGCCAGTTTGAGAAACTCGCGAAACTCAAAGTTCGTCAACCTATGGTGACTGGCCTTCGTCGACGCTGGTTGATCGTTCGTCTGACCCTGTATTCTGACCGCGTACTACAGTTTTCAGCGTTGCATGACAAGCGGGCAGGATATGAGGGGGTCGTCGTGTCCGCCAGAACCGCTCCGAGAACTTGGGACACGACAGGCAGGACACCTGCTTGACATTTGACGGAACCAGCGCGGAACCCCGTACAACCGTTTTGTTAAAGGCAATTACCGTTCTAAAACGATAAGTTATTTGAAACTTGCCTTGTCTTAGGGCTTTTGAAACTTGCCCAGGTTTACAGCTTTCCTGTCTCTCCTCTCCAGCAGCCACTTTCCAGACATGGCTCCTAGGAATCGTGCAAACAACGGTCTACTAGGCCAGATCGGCACGAAAGTCGATCGTACGACGATTTCGAAACCCGACCCTCCGTTCACCCGTTGGATCAAAGAGCAGCACGCTGCCGCTTCAACCCGCTGCGATGACGAGGAAAACGACGAAACCGACGCCGACGGCGACGGCGGCGACGACTTCGGCGACGACGGCGAAAGCGACGCCGAAAACGACGGCGAGTCGGACGACTCGTACGATATCGACGAGTGTCTTAGAGGACGATTCGGAAGGCCGTATGACTTAACAGAAGACAGGTTCCGAGACGGGGTGAATTTTGAGTCGACTCAAAAGTCACCTCGATTAGGGAGGTCGTATGACTTAACGGAAGACAGGTTTCGAGACAGAGAAACGGATCGAGAGTGGGACACGGACGCAGAGGCCGAACCGGGTCGCGTGGGGGAACCGGGTCGCGTGGGGCAACCGGGCGGTCTCGAGGTCCCATGGTACGAACTTCAAGAAGGCGAAACGGAAGGCGAGGAATTAGCGGAGCTCGCGGCGCGGAAGATGAGTCAGTGGAGCGAAGCGGAGCTCATGGAGCTCGCAGCGGCTGTCATTTTCTGCCGACACAGCGGGGAAGTCACGCGGCGGAGCGGCGGCAGGGGGGAGGTTTACTGGCGGCAGGTGTGGCGCGCGATCCGACGGGGTAACCCCGAATGGCGGCGCATCCCGACGGCGATGGAGAAGCAGTGGACGCGCATGAAAGCGCGGTACGACGCGGAGACGCTCGAACCGCGGCGGAAGAAGCGGCGGAAACGGGGGACAGGCCGGTGCGCCGCGGAGCTGCAAGAAGGGGGGGCGGAACAGCAGGCAGGGGGGGCGGAGCAGGAGGTGGGGGGAGCGGGGCAGCAGGGGGGTGCCGCGGCACAGCATGCGGGAGGCGCGGGGCAGCAGGCAGGGGCCGTGGATGAGCAACGGCAGGGTGGGTCTACTAACGCGGATGAGCAACCCAATAACGCGTCAGGGGGGAACACAGGGGCAAAGGCAAAGGTGAGGGAACGGCCCAAGGCAGCAGGGGGGAAGGATAAGGGACTGTGGCAAAAACCAGCATGGTTCAAGTACATTCGCATGTTCTACGGGACTGAGCTCCAGGCGAGGAGAAACGTGGCAGCAAATAAGGCTAGAAAAGCAGCTAGAGCGTCTGCTGCTGTTGCTGTTGCTACTAAGGTGTTTACGGCACCGAAGCAGCCTGCTGAAATGTCAGCGTATGCGTTTCCTGAGAGCATTGGTTCAGGATGGGGAGAGAATAGTAGGCAGCAGGAGCAGCAGCCGCAGCAGCAGGGGCAGCAGCCGCAGCAGGAGCAGCAGCAGCAGGGGCAGCAGGATCAACAACAACAGCACCAGCACCAGCAACGGCAGGAGCAGCAGCAGCAGCAGCAGCAGCAGCAGCAGCAACAACAACAGCAAGGAAAGAAGGGGCCCTCCCCATCACCATTACCTTTACCACCACCATTACCGTTACTACCATTACCTTCACGATCCCCGCTTCTCCCTTTGGCAGCAGCAGCTCCGTCCACTGTCTCTCCCTCTGACGACTACTTGTTGTGCTTGCGCAGCAAAGTCACGCCGGCTCCCGCCGCTACAGACCCGATTGTTGACATAACGCGAAAATATGTTCACTCGTCGCAAAGATATGGTGGATCTGGCAACAACCTACTGCGCCTGCCTGGTAACAGGGTTACGTGTGCTACCGACGCTACACCCTCCCTCCCTGCTACATCCCCCATGCCATCTACAGCATCCCTGCCCGCTACAGCCCCCTTTCCAGCTGCACCCCCGCTGCCTGCTACAAATTCCCAGCCGGCGAGTTATGAGCCTGCATCAGCCCACAGACAAGGGGCAGCAGCAGCTCCGGGTACTTTGACTGCTGGGGAAGGCTCATTGCGTGTTACGATAGAACGCAGGGAGCGGAAGGAGGGAAGATATGCAAGGAGAGGAACGGAGATCTCTACAGGAGGTGGAAAGGATTCGAGCGTGGGGGTTTCGGGCGAGAGGTCGGGCGAGAGGGTGGGCGAGAGGTTGGGCGAGAGGGTGGGCGAGAGGTCGGGCGAGAGGTTGACTGGAGCCATGGGTGTAGCCGTGAGAAGCGCGTGTTTCCAGTTTCAAGAGCTCACTCGGGAGTTGCTGGAGGATGCGTACTCGCGATTCGAGGATTTGTCGCAGCAATTAGCGGAGGATGCTTCTGCTCAGTTTGAGGAGATTGCGAGAGAGCTAATGGGTGAGACTGTGACGGCGGCTAGCCGGGCTAGCCGGGCTAGCCAGGAGGGCAAGAGGCGGAAGAGGAGGTAGAGTGGCTATCCAGGAGGGCACAGGACGAGGTGTGACCCCTTAATGCGTCACACCACACCTCGTCAGAGAGTGACGCGCTGGGGCTTGGCAGAGAGTTAATGGCTGAGGCTGTGGCGGCTAGTCAAGACGCTAAGAGGCGTAAGCGGAGGTAAATGCTTCAAATGATGTGTTGCATTTGCTGGAAGGGGAACTTGTGGTGTGGTACAAGTACTGAAATGGATTTTTAGACCTGAAGCTGATCTACTGGCAATCGCCTCAGGGAAGTACGGTAACAACCTTAATTGATAGCCTCTCAAACATCTTATTGATAGCCTCTCGAACATCTTATGGCAGTGGTAGGGTATGTCAAATTATTATTGCATATATTGCTGTAGGCTGTAGTGGGGTAGCCTTTGTAGGGTATGTCAAAATGACTTCTACGGTATGTTGTTTAGGCTGTAGTGGGGTACACTCTACAACCCATTAGGGTTAGCACTACTAGTACTCCTCATTCATTCTAGTCCATCATTCCTGTCACATGATCCTGACATAGCACATAGGTACCTAGGACCGGTTTTTTTTTTTTAGGCCCACCGTTCGTTTTACCCTGCCTGTTTTTCTGCCCTGCCCCTACCAATCGCGACCCGGCCGCCCGCTAGGGCCGTCCTGCCCCACGCGTTCGCACCTGCCCTGTCTCGCGCGCTGCCCCACACGCTGCCAGCGCGCTGCCCTATGCGCTACCTGCGCTGCCCGCGCCCCGCGCGCCCTGCTGCCCGCGGCCCGCGCGCCCTGCTGCCCGCGCGTCCTGCAGCCCGCGCGCGCCTCTGCTGCCCGCGCGCTCTGCTGCCCACGCGCCCTGCTGCCCGCGCGCCCTGCTGCCCGCGCGCCCTGCTGCCCGCGCGCCCTGCTGCCCGCGCGCCCTGCAGCCTGCGTGCGCCCTGCTGCCCGCGCGCCCTGCTGCCCGCGCGCCCTGCAGCCTGCGTGCGCCCTGCTGCCCGCGCGCCCTGCAGCCTGCGTGCGCCTTGCTGCCCGCGCGCGCCTCTGCTGCCAGCGCACCCTGCTGCCCTGCGCCCCGCGTGCGCTCTGCTGCCAGCGGGCTCTGCTGCCCTGCGCCCCGCGTGCACCTTGCTGCCCGCGTGCCCTGCAGCCCGCGCGCGCCTCTGCTGCCCGCGCGCCCTGCTGCCCACGCGCCCTGCTGCCCGCGCGCCCTGCTGCCCGCGCGCCCTGCTGCCCGCGCGCCCTGCTGCCCGCGCGCCCTGCAGCCTGCGTGCGCCCTGCTGCCCGCGCGCCCTGCTGCCCGCGCGCCCTGCAGCCTGCGTGCGCCTTGCTGCCCGCGCGCGCCTTTGCTGCCAGCGCACCCTGCTGCCCTGCGCCCCGCGTGCGCTCTGCTGCCAGCGGGCTCTGCTGCCCTGCGCCCCGCGTGCACCTTGCTGCCCGCGTGCCCTGCAGCCCGCACGCGCCTCTGCTGCCCGCGCGCCCTGCTGCCCACGCGCCCTGCTGCCCGCGCGCCCTGCTGCCCGCGCGCCCTGCTGCCCGCGCGCCCTGCTGCCCGCGTGCCCTGCAGCCTGCGTGCGCCCTGCTGCCCGCGTGCCCTGCAGCCCGCGCGCCCTGCAGCCCGCGCGCCTGCTGCCCGCGCGCGCCTCTGCTGCCCGTGTCGCCTTCTGCTCACGTGCGTCCTGCTGCCCGCGCGCGCCTCATCTGCCAGCACGCTCTGCTGCCTTGCGCCCCGCGTGCGGAGTGCTGCCCGCGTGCCCTGCTGCCCGCGCGCCCTGCAGCCCGCGTGCCCTGCTGCCTGCGCGCCCTGCAGCCCGCGTGCCCTGCTGCCCGCGTGCCCTGCAGCCCGCGTGCGTCCTGCTGCCCGCGCGCTCTGCAGCCTGTGCGCCCTGCAGCCCGCGTGCCTTGCAGCCCATGCGCCCTGCTGCCAGCGCGCCCTGCTGCCCACGCGCCCTGCTGCCCCAGCGCCCCGCTGCCCCGCGCCCCGCACGCCCTGTTGCCCGCGCGCTGCCCTAGCCGCACGCGCACAGCCCTAGCTACAACAGCTGCCGCCATCACTGCCGCTACCACTGTCGGTGCACCTGCCTCTGCTGTCGCTACAGGCTCCCGCTACGGCCACGGCTGCCACTGCAGCCCTTGCGCCGCTGCTGTTGACTGCCACTGCCCGTCATGGCCACGTCGCCGGTCTTAGCGGTTGACGCCGACGCCCGTACAGCTTAGGGTTCTGGCTTACATGCCTGCGCGTGCATCTCCAGCGTTTCATTAGAGATAGCGTCTCCGTACTCGAGCACACGTCGGGATCACTTATGGCCCCCACGACTCCCACTGAGCCTGCTGCTGACGCTGGCGAGGACGTGCAGAGGCGGTACCGGGCGGACAACCTTGCCTACAGACAGTGGACGGAGCGTGACGCTGTCGCACAGCGTGCCGTCCGAGCTCTCCTGCCGGTCGACCAGAGGGACCACTTTCGACACGTGACGTCGGCCCACACTTTGTTCGACGATGTTGTTAGACACTACTCCTCCCTCTCTCCTGCCACCCGGCCACTACAGCAGCGGCGTCCGTTCTTAGGGGAGGTGCAGCCGCTGGTCGAGGAGGCGAGTGTAGGTACCTGTACGTCTGCTCCCGCAGGTGGTGCCACTAGTGGAGGCGGTGATTCTGGGGGTGGTCAGTAGCGGCAACAGCGTCAGCTGGAGACCCTCTCGCCGCAGCTGCTTCGGGAGTGGGTTTCTCAGCGACGAGTCCCTGGTAGTGTAGAGGCTACTAGTCTCCACAGTCACACCGCTCACCACAGTCACACCGCTCACTGCACATGTCCTGGTCAATCTGGCTGACCCCTCTGGGGGCCCACTCGTAGCACGTGCCTTCACCGTTCTCCCGTGTCCAGCAGCCCCTTCCGGCTCGCTTGCAGGTCTCCACCTCCCCTCGTTCACTACGAACTTGGTGAGTAACGCTGTCCTCCAGGACTAGTTTGTCACTGTGACTACTCCTGGGGGTGAGCTTGTGGCGATCTGTACGGACTCACGGACTGGCGCCCACCTCGCCACGTTCACTCGGAGACCCGGGTCTGGCCTGTACACACTGACCACTGAGTTCGCACAGGTAGCTGAGTCCAGTCAGGTAGTTGCGTCTTGCTCGTGTCGGTTACTCACGCACCCGTCTCTCCTCTGGCACCACCGTCTGGGTCACCCCTCCCTGTCACGTCTGCGTAGCATGCACTCCCGTCTCCTTGTCTCTGGCCTCCCCAGGTCCCTGCCCCCACTCCCGCGGTCGCTTGCACCACCGTGCCTTCCCTGCGTCGAGGAGCGGCAACGCGCCGCTCCTCACTCCTCCTCGTTTCCTCCGACCACTGCTCCTCTCCAGACTCTCCACATGGACGTGTGGGGTCCCACCCACGTCAGTGGACAGGACGACGAGCGCTACTTCATGCTGGTTGTTGACGACTACACGCGCTACACCACGGTCTTGCCCTTGCAGAGCAAGGCAGATGTCCACGGTGTTTTGATCCCCTGGATCCGCACTGTCCGTCGCCAGCTGAGCTCGCGGTTTCAGCAGGACCTTCAGGTCCTGCGACTGCACTCTTACAGAGGTGGTGAGTTTTCCTCCCGCCTCCTTGAGGACTTCCGTCGTGAGGAGGGCATCGTCCGGTCGTTCACGCTTCCGGACTCTCCACAGCAGAATGGGATTGCTGAGCGTCGCATTGGCTTGATCATAGAGGTTGCTCGCACCTCCATTATCCATGCGGTTGCTCCCCATTTTGTGTGGCCGTTTGCGGTCCGATACGCCGCGCATCAGCTCAACCTCTGGCCCCATGTCTCTGTGCCAGAGACCTCGCCTACACGGGGCCACATGTTAAGCTGGTGCGCGGCGTAGCGGACTGCAAACGGCCATAGAAAATGGGGGGCACTGGTATGAGTCATGGAGGTACGAGCAATCTGTACGACCAAGCCAATGCGGCGCTCAGCTACCCATTGTGCTTCGGCGAGTCTGGGAGCACGTACGTCCGAATAATGCCCTTCGCACGACAGAACCGACCAAGGCAACCGGAGGCAAACTTGCCACCACGGTCGGAGTGCAGACGAAGCATAGGCAGGGCGCTCTGGGACAAGGGCGACAGGCACGTCGGCCTTCCGCACCAAGGGAAACACCGTGGTATAGGAGGAGTAGTCTTCCACAACGACCATGAAGTAGTGCTCCCGGCGCGGCCCAGGGACGGGGCAGGGCACCAGACGTCCATGTGCAATGTCTGAAGAGGTGCAGTGGTGAGAGAAAACGACGAGGTGTGAGGGGCGGCGCGCTGCCTGCCCTCGACGCAATAAGTATACGGCGGCGCAGACGAGGGAGGGAGAGCGAGGAGCGACGACGAGAGGCCAGAGACAAGACGGTGCCGAGCCATGTGACGGACACGCGGGGGGGCGAGGTAACCTAGTTGGTGGTGCTACAGGTGAGTGAACGAGCAACCGACACGAGCACGACGCAGCTACTTGACCAGACACAGGAACCTGGGGGGACACTTTGTGCAGCGTAAACAGACCGGACACAGAGGGGACTGCCGGACACGGGAGTGAAGTATCGCAGCGTGCGACGACCGGTCAAGCGGAGGGGTCGGCCAGGGAGACTGCGACATGAGCCGGAAGCGGTAAGAGGCCGGCGCGGTCGCGGAAGAAGCACTGAGACGCGCCGGAGTCCAGCGTGAAGGAGAGGGACGTGTCAGCCATGGACGCACCTGGGCAAGCAACAACGGAACATCCTACACTAGAGGCAGCTAGAGATCCTAGGCTAGGCACACACGAATAATACGATCCATCAACATTATAGTCATCAGCATACATGGCTGACATAGCATACATAGCAAATCCTATCTGATCAAAGTCCAAATCGAAAACCCGAACACCCTTGCGCAACAGGATAAGCCAGTCAGAGGGTGACACCCCAAATTGGGCGCGAAAGAGGTCGTCGAGGCGACTAAAGCATCGCGCAATGGAGTGATCGTTGCGCCCGCAGACAGTGCCCCGTGGAGTACCATACATAATCCTATACTGGCGGGGCCCGGTGTGGGGGGGGGCGGGGGGGGGGGGCACGTGATTCCGAGCTGCCAGAATCGCCACCGCGGCCATCGCTCCCCGGGCCATGAAGTCCCAACTGACGTTGGGACCCACTGGTGGATCTGCAGCTGCTGCGACTTGTGCGGCTGCTGCGACGACTGCTGCTGTTGCGACTGCTGCTACTACTGCGACTGCTGCTGTTGCTCGCATTTCAGGGCTATAAGGAAACAACTTTTTCTTACTTCACGTCACCATGCATACGGCGTACAGCATTGTATGCCACCCACGACAATTTTCCATTCCGTTACCATCTCGTGACATTCGAATTGACCACTGTTCAGGCAATCTCGCCATCTCGCTATCCCGCCATCTCGCTACACTCCTCGGCTGGTAACCCGCGACCCGGGTCTACGCTTTGGACAGTTCCCTGTCAGAGGTCCACTGGTGATCCCCGATTGATCCTAGGGAAGGGTTACAGGCTCGTTGTCCTGGGGGGTTATGGGCGCACTGACCCGCTACTTAACAAGCCCTTTTATCCCAGTGGTCTAGTGGCTGGGATTCTGACATGGTATCAGAGGGAAGGTCTCGGGTCCGAATCCCGGTGTACGCACTTCGGGCATCCCAGTGCGGGGGGGTGTCAGAGGTCCACTGGTGATCCCCGATTGATCCTAGGGAAGGGTTACAGGCTCGTTGTCCTGGGGGGTTATGGGCGCACTGACCCGCTACTTAACAAGCCCTTTTATCCCAATGGTCTAGTGGTTGGGATTCTGACATTCCCACCCTTGGTGTTAGGCCGGTAGGACACCCCACTTTGCGCTCGTTACTGTTACCAATTGTTTTCACTATACAACACTCGCTGATGCATTTGCTCATGTTGTTCAATTGCTTTGATTCTGCAAACTTTGTTCCCTCGCTCATTTGCACTCGTAACACTTGGTATCCAGAGCCACGTCCCTTTTCGGACCGAACATACTTCGCTTCCGCTACATTCAAATTTCCAGGAGGGGGTGGACGTCCCTCAGCGACCAGCGACCGGGAAGGCCTGACCCAGGAGTGCCTCGACGAATTAACTCGCCAACCGCATGAACACGCACTCGAAATCGCGACATTTACGGCTGTATGCGAATCACTTCAACGCTCGACGGCGCAAGCTCCATCTGCACCACCCATCACCATCACTACCGGCACAACTACGAATTCATGATACGACAGTGTGGGACAGTGCTCTGTTGCAGCTAGTGATGGCGCCACCCAAGAAATGCCAGGCATGGGGCGATCTAGGGAGATTCCGGGCGTGGATGCGTTGCGCGACATTTGTCGCCACGTCAACATTGCGGCTGGATACGTCAACGCACGACGTCGCGCAACCGATGCCACTTAAGCCTCAATGCCCACCCAGCTTCGACCCAAGCCAACGCGAAGGTCCGACGGTTCAATCGTGGGTGTTCATGATGGACGTCTTTTTCAACGGTGATGTCGGACGCGGCGAAGATAAGACACGCCGTCTCTCTACTACGCGGGCCGGCCATGGACCGGTGGCGAGTGATTGTCACCTCGCCGAGCGACAACGAGCCAAGGGGACGGCCTTACGGGCCAGCTGTTTCATGAGGTTCGTCCTTTTGCGAGGTCACCTAATACAGCACGTGGGAAGCGTGGTGTGCGGGCCCACGCGGGCGTTTTGAGTCGATCGCGGCTTAGATTTCGGCACGTCAAAAGCTGCGAACTTGGTGACAGCTCGGATCGGTTCAAGACTACACCGGTGGTTTTCTCGTGTTGTGCGAATAGAAGAAAAACATGCACATGCACGACCACGCCTGCTCATGCCTGTCTGTGCGTTCACCAGGTGGTGGGCATGGCGAGCATACGAGGAGTCAACGTGCCCATGTAAACGGCCCTACGCCGCACCATCGTGGTATTTACTCATGCATGTGTGTGTGTGTGTGTGCATGTGCCTGTTTCATGTGTCTCTTGATGCTATGCTCACAGGTGGTGGGCATGGCGAGCATACGGGGGGTGAACGTGCCCACGCACACGACATTGCGCCGCACCACAGTGGCCTTTACTCTCCTGACAACACAGTGGCTGTTGGCAACAGCGCTCCGCCTACACGCTAGGTGGGCTACCCTCCTTACACTCGGTTATGTGCAGTGTAGTGTTGTATGGAGCACTGAACCTCTTCCGCCGCTAGAGTGCTCTCTTGCTTTCGATGGTTCGTACGAAAGCTTTGGAAGATGGGTCAAACTGTTGTGAATTTAAAAGTGCTTTAAGCAGGCCCACTGTGACTGTGATGTACAGTATTTGTATCGAACATAGGGAGTGGAACATTTAGGTTCAAAACATCAAGGCTACCCGTAACAATCTTGGAAAGTTGCGCATTACCAATAATTGGATGAGCTTAGTTTAGGGGGATGACCAGGCCCAATTCGGCTGGGCCCGCAAGGCGTCTTATTGTAAATTTCACCTAAGTTTGGACTTTACAGGATTACCTTAAGAACATATTCGTTACATGGGCGCTTTAGATAAGTGGACAAGCCAACAAATCTGCAATGATTGTAGTTATAGTGAGAACGTTGCTGATACAAAAAGGGGCGATATGGGACATATCGAGTATTGCAGTAACGCGCTACAATCCGGCGATCTTTTCCCCAGGGAGTCCTAAATTCGCGAATTTCATGCTACAGCGTTTTCTAAACGCGCGACCGTTCCGAGTTATGAGGGATTCGGAATAACTATCTGCTCAGCCCTCTAGGCTCGCGATGCACTTCACTGCATTCATTCCCGAAGATTTTGCGTTAGACTCTTGAGCCAATGCCTGACACCTCTCATTCGCGTCTCCGCATTTCACCAGCCCTTCCGCGCGTGTCTATCGACTCAGCGCAGTAGTCGCCGTGTGATCGCGATTTCCCCGCGCTCTCGCCCGTCCGCGCGTCTCCCCGCGGCATGGGGAAAGGCGGAGCGGGCGCAGGGGGAGCCGGGATGGGCGGCGGCGGGGGAGGCGGAGCGGCGGGAAGCGCGGTGCGCGTGTGCGTGTTCGACTCGCGGCGGGGGAAGCGGGAGGGGGAAGAGGCGGAGAAGCTTCTGTTCTTCTTTCCGCCCGCCACTCCGCCGTCGGAGCAAGTGGCTTTACTTGGCCTCTGGGAGGGCCTTATCGCCTTCACTAGGTATCGTCACACTCGCTATAGTCACACACGTTTAGGCATATTTTTTCCGTCCGCCACTCCGCCGTCCGAGCAAGTGGCGCTGCCCGCCTTCACCAGGGAAGTCGACTCGCTATAGTCACTCACACTCGTGAGAGCTACACTCGCTATAGTCACTCACACTCGTTTAGGCATTCCGCCCGCCACTCCGCCGTCGGAGCAAGTGGCGCTGCTGGGCCTCTGGGAGGGCCTCCTCGCCTTCACCAGGTGCCGCGCTCGCTGTAGTTACACTCACTGTAGTCACACTCGCTACAGTCCCACCCTGTAATCGCACTCGCTATAGGCACATGCGTCGTCGGAGCAAGTGGCGCTGCTCGGGCTTTGGGAGGGCCTCCTCGCCCTCACTAGGTGACCCTATAGAATTCGACTCGCTATAGTCACACTCGCTAGAGTTACACTCGTTATAGTCACACTCGTATAGGCATATTCTTTGTTACAGGCGACTCCACCGTCGGAAAAAATGGTGCTGCTGGTCTCTGGGAGGGCCTCCTCGCCTTCACCAGGGGACTCGCTATAGTCACATCTCTATACTTACACTCGCTACATTTGAATTCGCTATAGTCACACCCGAAATAAGCACACTCACTCCCCTCCCCCCTTTTCCTCTCTCATCAAGTCACCGATTCACAACACCCCCTTCCTTGCCCACCAGTCCCACATTAGAGCCCCTTTTGTCATCCAGTTATCCTCGTTCTCTCCTTCCATTCTCTCTGTCCTTTCCTCATCCCCCTTACCATACCCTCTCTCCCTCATTCCCTCCCTCTTGCGATTTCTTGTTGGCTGCTTCCGCCCCCTCCCTCTCCACTCTTCCGCCATTCCCCCAGTCCTCCTGCCCGCTCTCCCCCCCCCCCTCACCCCACAAACCAGAAGCAGGCTGTGAGGTGATGCGAGCGCATTTCAACCGCCATGTGCTACCCTCCATTCCTCTCCCCCTCTTGCTTTCTGTTGTCTTGCATGTCCGCATGTTGCCTGCCATTCCCCATTCCCCACTGTGTTGCCTTCCCCTCCCTCCCTTGCCTCCCTCGTTCCCCCTTGCAGAATCTTCTCTCTTAATCGTCCCTGTGAGGTGATGCGAGCGCATTTCAACCGCCACCTGCTGGAGTGTGAACCTGCTGCTGTCTCCACTCCCTGTCCCCCACCTCCTATTTCACATCACACCCCCTCACTCACTCCTCCCCTCGCCTGCCCCCACTCCCTCTCTCCTTTGCTCCCATTCCCCTCTTCTCCCCCCCTATTACAGAATCTTCTCCCCCAATCGTCCCTGTGAGTGAGGTGATGCGAGCGCATTTCCGTCGCTGCCCTTCGCCTCGTGCCCCCCAACCCAACCCAACCCACCTCCTCTCTCCCTTGCCCCTTCGCCCCCCCTCCCAGAATCTTCTCCCCCCGTCGCCCCTGTGAGGTGATGCGAGCACACTTCAACCGCCACGTGCTGCTGGAGTGTGAGCCGGGCATATTCATGGTGCTGGTGAGTGGTAGTGATGGGGATTGGGTGGGTGCTTGAGGCGCTATGATGTGATGTGTGCATGATGTGATGTGTGCATGATATCATGTGTGCATGATGTGATGTGTGCATGATGTGATGTGTGCATGATGTGATGTGTGCATGATGTGATGTGTGCATGATGTGATGTGTGCATGATGTGAGTGGGGCTGGCTGGCTGGCAGTGATAGTCAGCACACCTCCTTCAACCGCCACGTGCTGCTGGAGTGTGAGCCGGGGATATTCATGGTGCTGGTGGTGAGTGGGTGATGGCATGGTGTGATGGCGATGTGATGGCATGGTGTGATGGCATGATGTGATGTGTGCATGATATCATGTGTGCATGATGTGATGTGTGCATGATGTGATGTGTGCATGATGTGATGTGTGCATGATGTGATGTGTGCATGATGTGATGTGTGCATGATGTGAGTGGGGCTGGCTGGCTGGCAGTGATAGTCAGCACACCTCCTTCAACCGCCACGTGCTGCTGGAGTGTGAGCCGGGGATATTCATGGTGCTGGTGGTGAGTGGGTGATGGCATGGTGTGATGGCGATGTGATGGCATGGTGTGATGGCATGATGTGATGTGTGCATGATATCATGTGTGCATGATGTGATGTGTGCATGATGTGATGTGTGCATGATGTGATGTGTGCATGATATCATGTGTGCATGATGTGATGTGTGCATGATATCATGTGTGCATGATATCATGTGTGCATGATGTGATGTGTGCATGATGTGATGTGTGCATGATGTGATGTGTGCATGATGTGATGTGTGCATGATGTGATGTGTGCATGATGTGAGTGGGGCTGGCTGGCTGGCAGTGATAGTCAGCACACCTCCTTCAACCGCCACGTGCTGCTGGAGTGTGAGCCGGGGATATTCATGGTGCTGGTGGTGAGTGGGTGATGGCATGGTGTGATGGCGATGTGATGGCATGGTGTGATGGCATGGTGTGATGGCATGGTGTGATGGCATGGTGTGATGGCATGGTGTGATGGCATGGTGTGATGCCGATGTGATGGCATGGTGTGATGGCGATGTGATGGCATGGTGTGATGGCGATGTGATGGCATGGTGTGATGGCGATGTGATGGCATGGTGTGATGGCGATGTGATGGCATGGTGTGATGGCGATGGGATGGCATGGTGTGATGGCGATGGGATGGCATGGTGTGATGGCGATGGGATGGCATGGTGTGACGGCGATGTGATGGCATGGTGTGATGGCGATGTGATGGCATGGTGTGATGGCATGGTGTGATGGCATGGTGTGATGGCATGGTGTGATGGCATGGTGTGATGGCGATGGTGTGATGGCATGGTGTGATGGCATGGTGTGATGGCGATGTGATGGCATGGTGTGATGGTGATGTGATGGCATGGTGTGATGGCGATGTGATGGCATGGTGTGATGGCGATGTGATGGCATGGTGTGATGGCGATGTGATGGCATGGTGTGATGGCATGGTGTGCTGGCATGGTGTGATGGCATGGTGTGATGGCATGGTGTGATGGCGGTGTGATGGCATGGTGTGATGGCATGGTGTGATGGCATGGTGTGATGGCATGGTGTGATGGCATGGTGTGATGGCATGGTGTGCATGTCATGGGCCTTGCAGTCATCATGGTCGTAGCAGTCTCATACTTGCTTCCTTCAACGGCATCGTTCCGCCTGCCCTTAACTCCATTCTTCCCCTACCTACCCCCCACCCACCCCCACCCGCCCATATGCCCGTACCAAATCCCAGTTCCCCTTTCTCCCCAGTTCCCCAATTCCCCGTCCATTACTCCCCTTTTCCTCATTCTCTCCATGCTCTATGCCCACACCAAATCTCAGGTGGTGGAGTGTCGGGGGGTCAACGGTGTCGTGCCGCCCGACGCTGCAGTGCGTGACGAGGCTCTTCGGCAGTATCTGGTGGAGGCGCATGCGCTCTTTTGTCTCTTCTTCGGCAGCATCGACCGCCTGTTGCAGCAACAACCCGAACCTCCCACTCACCCCTCAGCAGCAGCAGCAGCAGCAGCAGCAGCAGCAGCAGCAGCAGCAGCAGCAGCCACACCCTCATCAAATCTTCACTCCAACACACCTTCACACGAGTCCCCTTCACATGATTCCCCATCAGCCGTTCCCCCTTCAGCAGACTTAGCCCGTGCCTGCCTGCAAGCGTTCCTCCCTGACTTTCTCACAGGTGCGTGTCTCCCTGACTTCTCCCCCTCGCACTTCTCTTCTGTATTCTGACTTAGCATGTAACTGCCTGTGAGCCTTCCTCCCAGCCTTCCTCACAGATCTGTCTCTCTTCGGTCGTGTGTGGATCGTGCACGTCGTTCCGCCCCCGCTCTTCCGATTAGTCCGTTCCTTTTGACCAGTCCACACCTCCTCGAGTCTTTTCTCCAGTTGACTCAAAACGTAGTGCTTCCCCTTTCCCCCCCTCATGTCCCTCCAGGCGGGTCCCCAGAACCCTCCGCCCTCACATTCCCCTTCGCCCTCTCTTCCGTCACACCTCCACGGGTCCATTTTTTAGTCGAATAAAAACTCAGTGATTCCCCGTTTCCTCTTCATTGCGCTCCCCCCTTCCCCACCTTCCCCACTGCACTTCCCCCCCATCCCTCCAAGCAGGTCCCCAGAACCCTCTGTTCTCACATTCCCCTTCGCCCTTTCGCCCCCACACCTCCTCGAGTTCATTTTCGAGTCAACTCGACCAGTGATTCCTGCCCTCACTCCTCCCACTTTCCTCCGCATTCCTCCAGGCAGTTTTTTTGAGTCGACTCAAAAGTCCCTCCAGGCAGGTCTTTCGAGTCAACTCAACCAGTGATTCCTGCCCTCACTCCTCCCACTGCACTTCCTCCTCATCCCTCCAGGCGGGTCCCCAGAGCACCCCCTTTCCAACCACCCCTCACTTTTCAAGGCTCCTGCCTCTTTCCCCCTGACTGCACCTCCCCTCCCCTCCTCATCCCTCCAGGCGGGTCCCCAGAGCCTTCCGCCCTCACATTCCCTTTCGCCCTCTCTGCTCCAATGCCTCCTCGAGTGCGCCTGCCTGCTCTCCTCGACTCCCTCTCCAACCGCCTCTCCTGCCGCCAACTGAATCTTCCACGTTCCCTCACGCTCCCTGCTCTGGTAATCCTGCTTTTCTCTTGTTCAACCAACCCCTACACCTCTTCCAACCACTGCTCACCCCCCGCCACTCCTCGAGTCCGCCTGCCTGCTCTCCCCAACTCCCTCTCCAACCGCCTCTCCTGTTGCCACCTCAACTTCCCCCGCTCCCTCACGCTCCCTGCTCTGGTGAGGATAATCTCTCACGCTTCCCTCTCTGGTGATCCGGCTCCCTCTTCCATAATCACACCCTCTCCTTCTCCTCCCCCCTTTCCTCTCTCCACCCCGCCCCTCTCCTCTTTCTCTCGCCTCTGCCTGCCTTTTCTCCCCTTCCTCCCTCACTCTCCCCACCATCACCCTCCCTTCCCTCCCTCTTTCCTCCCTGGTGAGACTTCTCACGTCTTTCCTCTCGCTTAACCCAATCCCTCCCTTCCATCTCTTCCCCCCTCCACCCCTTCTCTCCCTCCGAACCTTCACTCTTCCATTGCCTGCCAAACAAATTTCTCGTGAGATGGGAAGAGTTTTGAGGCGCCCCAAAACTCTTCTCATTTCACGCTCGGCTGTCTTCTGTTTGACAACTTTCAAGCCAGGCCTCTACCGCTGATTCGTCTTTCTCTCTTACACTACTCCCTCCTTGCTCCTGCTCTGCTTTTCCCTCCCCCTCCCCTCTCCCCCCCTCTCCTCCCCCCTCTCCCCCCCTCTCCTCCCCCCTCTCCCCCCCTCTCCTCCCCCACCTCCCCCTCCCACCAGTCACTCGCCCATCGCCTGGTGGATGCTTTTCAAGGAGCAGCATTGCTGCTCTGCCACGACCTCTTTTCTCAATCACCCCCAGCGCTTCTTCTCTCTTCTCCCTCCCACCCCTCCCCCACCTCCCCCTCCCACCAGTCACTCGCCCATCGCTTGGCGGATGCCTTTCAAGGCGCAGCACTGCTGCTGTGCCACAGCCTGCTGCTCGCCTCCACCCTCTCCCCGGTAACCACTCGTGCCCCCCTGCTTCCCTTCCTTAGCTTGCACAGTCTGCCGCTGCTTCTCTTTTTCCTTTCCCTGCCCTTTCTCACTTCCTTTGATCTTCAAGGTTTATATTTTATTGCTCCTCACTTTCTGCCTCCCCTCACCTCTCCCCCTCTAATCCCTCTCCTTCCCCTCTCCTCCGCATGCCTCCGCCTTCTCCACTCCTCCCTCTCCCCGCCAATTTTGGGGTGCCTCAACAAAAGCAATCCCCCTTTCTACTCCCCCTCTTCCTCCCCTCTCCCCACTCCCTTCCTCAGGCTGACACTGCAGCACTACACTCCTACGCATGCCTGCGCCTTCTCCCTTCCTCCCTCTCCCCCTCCTCCTCCTCCTCTTCCATCCTTCGCTCCCTCTCCCCCTTCCGCTCCCCTTTCACCTCCTCCTCCTCCGCCTCCTCCTCCCCCTCCTCTCACCGGCCCTCCTCCCCCTCCCCTCGTCGCACCTCCTCCTCTTTCCTCAGCCCCTCACTCACTCCCTCACTCACTCCCTCACTCGCTCCCACCCTACCTCGCTCCTCCTCCACTCCCTCACTCGCCCATCTCTCCCCTTTCGGCCACACTCCCCTTCTCTCCCCCTCTGCTTGCCCCAACCCCAACCAGCCATTCCCCCCTTCCCCCTCCGCCTCCACCCCCCCCACCCACTCCTCCCCTTTCCCCCTCCCCTACTCCTCCCCTCCCCTCCCCCTTCGCCCGTCATCCTGGGCCAAATCCACGTCAGGCCACTCCCTTTCCACGTCAGCATGGGGATTAGATCCCCAAACCAACACCCCTCTCCCCCCTCTAGTCTACCTTAGGTCTTTGGGGGTAGAGGTGGGGGGAGGAGGGGCGGGGGGAGGGGTGGGGGGAGGGGAACGAGGAGAGGAAGGGGCGAAGGAAAAGGGTGGTGGAAGGGAGGAGGGCGGAGGGGGATTGGGAGGGGAAGGGGGAGGGGAGAAGGGAGAGGAAGCAGGAGTGGTGGGAGTGCTGCGGGTGTTTTATGTGAAGGACCTGACAGCCATGGTGGTGGAACCACTAGCAGCAGCAGCGGGAGGAGCAGCAAGGGAGGGGCAGAGGAGGAATGATGAAGCCGGTCCGACAAATCTGCACCCCGAGGTGAGTTGAGTGTAGTGCCTTGTCTGCGAGTGCTGCGAGTGCTGGAAGTGCTTCGAGTGTTGATTTGTCTAGGACCTGACAGCCTTGGTGGTGGAGCCACGACTCGCAGCAGGAGAAGGAGCAGCAGGAGCAAGGCCAACGGAGGGACAGAGAAGGAATGAAGCTGGTCAGACGAATTTGCACCCCGAGGTGAGTCAATGCTTGTCTGACTCGTTATTGGTTCGAATTTCCTTTCTTTTCTTTTCTTTCTTTTCCCTCCTTCCCCCCATTCCTCGACAGCTACTGAGGGAGATGGAAGCATTGGAGGCGTCGCTTCAGCGGCACCACATCAACCCGCAAGCCGCCCACATTCAGGGCTGCCGCTACCTCTGCACCGACCCGCTTCTCCGCTCCTTCTCCGCTTCCCCGCCCTGCAAAGTCACCACCCTCGCCAAGGTTGGTTCTTTCTCTCTCTTCCTATCATAGTTCGGTTGCCACCCTCTCAAAGGTCGGTTGTTACCCTATTTCAGGTTGATTTCCCCCCTCCACTTTCCCGTCCCCCTCACGCGCTACCTCTGCACCGACCCTCTGCTCCGCTCCTTCTCCGCCTCCACGCCCTGCAAAGTCACCACCCTCGCCAAGGTAAGTATTCTACCCTATCAAAGCGTGGTTCTTGCCCTATCAACGTCGGCTGTGAAGTCACCACCCTCGCCAAGGTGGGTCTCCTTCTGGTGCCTCTCCTTGGTGATCATGCCTCAGACTGCTTCCAGGCCCTGCAGATTCACCACCTTACCTTCCGCTTCCCCATCCCTTTTCACCCGCTACCTCTGCACCACCGACGCTCTGCTCCACTCCGTCTCCGCCTTCCTGCTCTTCCTCCGCCCTGCAAAGTCACCACTCTTTGAGTCGCCAAGGTGGGCTGTTACCCTTTTGAGGCGCCCCAAAGGTGGTTACCCCATCAAAGGTTCATCGCACCCTTACTCGCTTTCTCCCTTTTGAGATAAACCCTTACTCGCTTTCAAAAGTGATTTCGGCACCGACCTGCTGCCCCACTCCTTCTCCGCGTCCCTGCTCTGCAAATTCACCACCCTTTCCAAGCTGGGCTGTTACCGTTACCCCCAACAACCACGCTATCAGAGGTTGTTCCCCCCTCCATGCTACCTCTGCTGCGCTCCTTCTCCGCCTCCTCTCCTGGCAAAAAACCACTCTTTTCAATGTCAGCTCCCAGTGCCTTTGGCTGCTTCCCATCTGCTTCCCATCTGCTTCCCATCTGCTTCTCATCTGCTTCTCATCTGCTTCTCATCTGCTTCCCATCTGCTTCTCATCTGCTTCCCATCTGCTTCCCATCTGCTTCCCATCTGCTTCTCATCTGCTTCTCGTGCTGAACCAGACGAGACACGAGGCGGACAGGCAGCAGCAGAGGAGATGGGTTGGTGGGTCGAAAGAGGTGATACATTGACAATCCTAAACTTACCCCTCCCTCCCTTGCACCCATCTGTTCTCCAGGATTCTCTGGCAGTGCTGAATCAGATGAGACACGAGGCGGACAGACAGCAGCAAAGGAGGGAGATGATGAGGGTGCAGGGGGGAGGAAGGAAGAGAAGGGATGCGCTCACCGGAAGGGTGGGAAGAGGAGAGAAAGGTATGAGGGTGGCTTTTTGAGATGTCTCAAGGGAACAGAGATGGACTCGCTTTTGAGAATCCGCAAAACCGGAAAAGACGGATAAGAAGAGGAGGAAAGAGAGATTGCTTTTTTGAAAGAGGAGGAAAGAGGGATTTTGCTGCTGCTCTAGTTTCTGCTGTTTCTGTGGCTGCTGCTGTTGCTACTTCTTCTCGAGTTGCTGCTGCCTTTCTGTTGCTGTTACTGCTGCGTCTGCTACTACTTCTTTTAACCCTACCTTCTTCTTATGTCATTTCTTTACGAAAGATATTGCCATCTCAACAGTTCCAGCTCTACTCTGCCTTCTATCTGTTGAAATTTGTTGGATTCGAAACGCAGCAAGCCTACTAAGCGTAACGATCTGTAGTATAAGTCTACTAATCTGAAAGTCGAGGGAAGCCATCTCAACAGTTCCAGCTCTACTCTTCCTTCTATCTGCTCTGCTCCTCTTTCTTCTGACTGCAATCCTGCTCTCCCCTCTAAATATTGCTGCTGTGCCTGGTGCAGGGTCAAGGGAACAACATGCAGTGAGCACACAAGGGGACGGCGCAGGGGTGGGAATTTCTACGGGGGAAGAAAGGGGGAGTGGAGGGACAGAGATGGAGGGAGCAGCAGGTGGGGCAAGCGAGGGGGAGCAGGGTGTTCCCGGGACCATGACAGAAGATGGGGAGAGGAAACGGATGAGTGAGGAGGAGGGAGGAGAGGGGAGGGCGGGAGAGGCGGGAGGAGGAGAGAGGGAGAGACGAGAGGAAGCAGGGCGAGGGGAGGAGAAGGGGGAGTGGTGTGAGGAGGGGGGTGAGGAGGAAAGTGAGGAAAGTGAGGAGGAGAGTGAGGAGGTGGCATCAAAGGTGGGAAGAAACGCGTGGGTGGTGGAGAGGAGGAGTGGCGGGCGGCAGCTGGTGGTGGCAGTGGAGAGAGGATGCGACTCCCTGCTGGGAGCAGAAGAACTCGTGGACAGACTGAATGCACAGTGAGTGGGTCAACCATTCCTCAGATTTAGGGGTTGAGGTGCCTCAAGAGTGGCGGGCGGCAGCTAGTGGTGGCGGTGGAGAGAAGGTGTGACTCCCTGCTGGGAGCAGAAGAACTTGTGGATCGACTGAATTCCCAGTGAGTGTTGTTCTGATCTGACTAGCACCGCCCATGTGCGTACATTCTGTGCGTGCTATGAATAATGGGTGAGAGAGGGTGTGACTCCCTTGCTGGGAGCAGAAGAACTCGTGGATCGGCAGCTTGCCGGGTGAGTGAGTGGGCTCTGAGTCGCGTTGTTGTGTGTACATTCTCTGAGTGTTGCTCGTGGTAATGGGAATAACTGCTGAAGGGTGTGACTCCCTGCTGGGAGCAGAAGAACTCGTGGATAGACTGAATGCAGGGTGAGGGTTGTTCTGAGAGTCGCACCACCGGTGTGTGTACATTCTGTGAGTGCTGCGGACGAAGGTGGTGGTGTTAGTAGTTGAGAGAGGGTGTGACTCCTGGGCAGAAGAACTCGTGGATAGATTGAATGCACAGTGCGTGTTGTTCTGACTAGCCTCCCGCAGCTTTAAGTGGTGTCTGAGTGGATAAAGCAGAATGCAGAGTGAGCCAATAGATTGAATGCAGCGAATGGATAGATTCAATGCAGAGTGAGCAGAGTGAGTGCAGAGTGAGTGATGGACATAAGAGTCATAAACATTTCGAACCCTTTTTTCTTTCTGCTGCCCCAATTGCTCATTTCAGGCACTTTGGGGGTGTATTCCCTTCTCACTAAGGCGCTGTACTGTGCTGAACTGTACTGTACTGTTTACTTTACGGTGCTTTGCATTCAATTCACTGCTGCATTCGTCTAAACTCTGGAGTTTTCTTATATTGATTTTGTCGTATTCGCCTGTAGCATAACATACGGTCGTTTTTATAAGACCCCAGTATAGGAATGAAGGACTTAGCCCCAGTAAGACTCGTTTTTACTTAAAAGACTTAGCTGCCATAATCTAGCGAATAGGATTGAGTTGACTAGGAATGAAGGAGATACAAGTATGAAACCCTAATGGGTTATCCCCTCTATGGTGTACCCCAGTATAGCCTGCACACCCTCACAGGCGAAGGGGTTACAACAAGCGGTTACAAGACAAGTCAAAACAAGAGAAGCAAAAAAAACAAAGCTCAGGGTGGATCTCAAGATCGCCACGCAGTCCGAGCACAAGCGGCCAGAAGGCCACTTCACATGCAGAGGTATAAAAACAACGGCGGTACACTGATTACAGCATAGAAAGTGTAAAAATGCAGGTATACAGATATATAGCAGTGTACAGCAAGGGCAAACCTAGATCAAGACACAAGCAAGTGAGGTAGAGTGGGCACAAGCCCAAGAGCAATGCAGAGACGCTGCTGATCACACCCCAGTGCCTTGGTGAAGATATCAGCAGTGTTGGTCTATGAGACCACGAGCAAGACGAAGCTGACCACGCTGCTGCATCTCTCGTGCGAGAAAGTAACGAAGGGCAATGTGCTTCGTTCTGTGCTCCAGCCTCTGTTTCAGACACAAAGCGCCATGGCCTTGTTGTCGACGTACATAACTTTAGGAGAACGAGGCCGCTCACCCAAGTCAGTCAGCAAGTAGGTCAACCAACTCCTGTGCAGCCATAGCCCCAGCGTAGATCTCCGACTCATAGCTAGACTAAGTACAGAAGACGAGCGGGTGGACCTCCAGGAGACAGAACCGACGCCAAGATTGAAAGTGTAATCCTATGACAACCGCTGGGTCTCCTGGTCGTCAGCCCAAGAAGCATCAGAGTGCAAGGTGAATTCTACTCGACCCCGTCCTCCAAGCACAAGCCCCAATCCCGATGTACTGCATAAGTAATGCAGTACCCTCTGCGCAGCTATCCAGTGCTCCTTCCTGTGTCTCCCGGGCGCAACGAAGCGAGCGAGGATGCTGAGAGGGTACACGAGGTCAGGTCGTGTCCACGTCATCAGGTACATGAGGCAGCCCACAAGTTCTGGATACGGACCACTCGGCTCTACAGACTCGTCCAAAGGTGGAGCTGAGAGTGAGTGGCTCGTAGGCAGAGGAGTGCGCTGTGGTGAGGAGAACTGAAAGCGGAAGCGCTGAAGGATCTGCTGCACCATGTGTGACTGAGTCAGGGTGATGGTTCGCCTTGCTCTGTCCCGGGTAATCTGCAAGCCAAGATAGTTTCGCAGCTCACCCAGGTCAGTGCAAGTGTGTCACTTCTGCTGCTCCGCCTTCACTAGGGCCAGTGCCTCAGTGTCAGCAGTAGTAAAAACTAGTCGTTGACGTACACAAAAATGTAAAACGGCGGCAGAGAAGTGTCGGTGCGCAGAAACAGCGACAGGTCAGCAGTCGAAGGGGCAAAGCCAAGAGCCGCATGTGTAGTCCTTAGTGTGTCGTGCCACTCGCAGGGCGCCTGGCGGAGACCATAGACTGGCCGTCGGAGGCTTCAATGGGTACCCTCAGGAAACGACTCTGTGAAGCCAGGTGGGCGGCGCGGCCAGATCTCCTCGTGAAGGCTGCCCTGCAAGAAAGCTGCGCTGAAGTCAAGCGAGTGGAGCTCGTAGTAACGCTGTGCTACAACGTGCAGTAACAACCAAAGAGTGGTCATATTCGGGGTGGGAGAGAAGGTCTAGAAGAGGTTGATTTTTTGTCTCTAACTGAAGCCTCGTGCAACGTAACGCGTCTTGAAGGCAGGCGGTGAACCCGGCAGCCGTTTGACCCTGAATATCCACATGCCATCGACTATGTTTGCCCCAGGAGGGTGAATTGCGTCGACGTATGTGCCTGTGGACTTCCAGGAAGCCATCTCTGCATCCATGGCTGTCTGCCACTGAGAGGAGTACCCACCCGTGATCGCCTCAGCGTAAGAGCGCGGGTTTGGGATGTCTAGTGCATCAAGGTCTCCCTTAGGGAAAAGCAGCACGGAAGCAAGATGAGGTACAGCAGTCGCGAGGCACTCGAGCTCAAACTGCCTGTCCTCAATGACATCACTTCCAAGGGCAAGCTCACCAACGACGGACGGAGGACAGTCGGACTCAGACTCAGTAACAAGACTCGCGAAGTAGTGTAGACGACAGGTAGCAGCAAAGTCAACAAGCTAAGTGACTAAGGCAGTCGCAGCAGTAGACTCAAAGGAAGGGTCAGTGACAAGGGTGGCCAGGAAACGCGTGACAGCAGGACTAGCAGCACGAGCAAGGTCAGACACAGGGTCATGAACATTAGGAAGAGAAGAATTCGGAGGAGACAGCAGAGCAACATGCTCTGGAACAGACGAAGGACGAAGTGACATAGTTTGTGTGCCGGGGACTGGTGGAGGACGAACGCGACGAGCACGACTAACAGTGCGAACATGCGAGGCAGGACAGGATGCAAGCTCATGACGCTCTGTCACAGAGTCTGCCTGCTCAGGGTAAGGAAAAGGAGCAGGCAAAGGGGAGAGTGGCAGTAACGTCGGTTGGGAATGGTCAGGCGGAGGACACCGTAGAGGTGGAATAAGGCCAGAGGAAGACGGAAGACTAAGAACCTGGCAAAGCGCCGAGTCAGGTGGTGGCAATGATGATTGCGGATGCGGGATGAAAAACGGTCGCCGGTGCGCAGTACCCACAGTACCAGAGCCTCCAGCTCCAGCACCGGCACCTCCAGCAGCTCCAGCACCTCCAGCTCTAGCACCTCTAGCACCAACATCTCCAGTAACTCTGCACCTTCTGCTCTAGTACCTCCAGCACCTTCAGCTCCAGCACCTAGCATCTCCAGCACCAGCAGCTCCAGTACCTCCAGTGCGGAGATAACTACTACAAAGGGAGCTAGACTACGGGATAGACACGGTTGTGGGGGTGATCTCTACGTTCCTTAGTCGTTTTCTTGTGCTCTACAGCTTCCGGCCGACGTGCGAGACACACGGGGAGTCGGCGCCGGCCGACGGCTTGAAATCCAGGCCGGTGGCGACCTCATGCTTCACCGAGCTCGTGATGGTGTCGACGCCGACATGCACAAGCCTAGCGTGCCATCGTGCAGGTGTTGACTTGGTCGCCGAGACTATCACCCGCAGAGCCACCACCTACGTCGTGGTCATCGTCGACGTGGCCGTGCAGGGACGAAGGTCGGTGCAAAGGACCCGGCCGGTTAACTTCGCCCGACCTAGCACGTCCCCTGCCGCCGAGACAAGCATCATGCCATCACCATCGTCCTGCAGCTTCACGCCGCTCTCCTTCAGCTGGCCAGCTGACAGCAGGTTTGTCTGCACGACCGGAACGTAGAGGACGTCGGTGATGAGCACTTGCTTCTCGACCTCCCCTTACATAGCGACCGTGCCCCAACCCTGGACGTGCTGCAGCGCCCCATTGAAGCCGCGCACGTGCTTGACGTCTCCGCTCGGCTTCGAGTCGTCAAAGGCCGCCTTCGTCCCCATCAGGTGGTGTGAGCAGCCGATGCCGAGCAGGACTCACAGCCAGGTTCGCCTGCATGCTCCCACTGCCTGGAAGTCCTCACCAGCCTCCAGCGCTAGCGAGACGGTCGGCTCCACGACGCCGACCAGTGAGCACGACGCCTCCCCGTCGCTTCCCCCTTGCCGCCAGAGGAGGAGTCGTCGTCCTTCGTGGAGGTCGACTTGGTTGACTGCTTCTCCTTGCATGGCTTGCTCTCCTGACGAGGGCGACGCCTGGCTGACCTCCCTTGGCCTCCGTTGGTGTCGTCGTCGTCGAAGTTGCTGCGGTCGGGGCAGTCGAAGGAGAGGTGGTCGGGGTCGCCTCATAGCCAGCACTCTCCTCCATGACCGCTGTCCTCGGCCGACCTGCCCTTGTCGGCGTCCTTGGCCGGCTTCCCACCTCCACTACTACCGCCGCCAGGCTTGCCACGTTGCGCCGCTCGACCACCTTACTGTCAACATATATATTATATGTGTTGTTTAGTTTAGCCTAGGTGTTACATTCACTATTCCTAGGGTTTGCATATATCTCCTTGTACCTTGTTTCCTTAGTTAATCTCACGCTC